ATTTTCAATAGTATCGTATTAAATATACCACGCTGTAGCACTACATGTAATATCATAATGTCAAATAAAGAAAGTTATAATTGAGAAATATCTTGATCTACAGATGAGACCACCATTGAAGAAGGCGATGTTCCATCTGGCTTGGTCACCGGACAGTTTGCCCACTTGGGAGGCTATCGCGCCATTGCTCGAGTATTTAGACATGCACCTGGTGGTGCTAAACTCGGCTCTGCTTACAGTGAACTTCAATCGAGTTCTTCAAGACATCTGGGAAGTGGTGCTGGCTGAGCTAAGCAACCAAATGGACGGAAACGCGGGTGTAAGCAGAATCTTAACGCTATCTCATGACGAATAGGCATAAAATAATATCTTTATACATTTATGGAAAGTTTGATAGTGCGAAAAATATCCAAAAGAAGTATTTAAAATATTCATAGTATTTAATAAAAATGAATCAATTTTCTACTTAGGTTCCATAGTTTTAATTATATTCAGAATATGCATACATATCCGGTACTCTTACGATGAAGCATTTAATGTCGATTGATATCGATGCCTTTAGCATTGTCACCAATCGTTGTGTAACTGAAAACGATAAAGAAAGGATTGTTATTGGTTTGATTTGTTAAAAAATCTGTTTCTCTATAGGATAAACCAGCGATGTTTTACGAAAGACTTCACGAGGCGCTGGACTTATTGGCGACGTTCTTCCACGAGGATGATAAAGGTTTGCCGTTCGAAACACTTAAATGTCAGAGTTTCCTGAATGTTGAGGAACGGCTTCAGTATCACAAAATGGATACAACATTCTTGATCGACCGATTTTATCGACAACGACTTCAGGTTACTATATGATCTGATTTTCTTTTTTCTTTGTGTCGCAAAGCTGTAATCGAAGTTAAATCGAAGTTTGGTATAGTTGCACGATTTTTTTAACTATAAAGTGACTACTCTGATCTTCTTAGGACCAACTAAACACCGTATCCTCCGAATATGGCGTTCTAACGGTGAGAGCGTATCTAAATCACGATTCTCTGTGCGTGGAAGTTATAAATGCAAGAGACGTGATACCATTAGATCCAAACGGTTACAGCGATCCCTTCGTGATAATCGAATTGCTGCCACGAAGAGTCTTCGAGCATTGCGCCGAGCAGCACACCAACGTCAAGAAGAAAACTCTGAACCCTATGTTCGACGAATGTTTCGAATTGTAAGCAACGAAGAACAAATTTCTAACATCGAATGCAAAGATTTAACTACATACATACGTTGATACGATTCTTTGATATATTCGAAGATTTACAAATACTCAGAAACGTACAGACCTTCGTAAAAGATGATTAAAGGTCTTGAAATTTCGATATTGTTCTTACAATAAGAAATAACTTGGTAGAGTCGTGTCCTAAGGCACACCAATAACTGTCGGTATTGCTGGTAGTTCGTGAAACTTGAATTATTGAATTATTTCGAATCGTGCCTATAAAAAGTTGATTCTTTCATTCGATCGTAACATTTCAAAGTAATCAAATCGATATTTTCCCTATCGGTTGATCATCGTAATCACTTGGCGTATATTTTTATGCCATCGACTCTCTACGAACTTCTTTGTCGTTAGCTCCGTGAGCGTGGAGCAGTGTCGAAGTCCAAACGCCATGGTTCTGTTCACCGTAATGGACCACGACGTGCTCACGGCGAATGACTTCGCTGGTGAAGCGTTCTTGGGGCTCAGCACGATACCTGGTGTTACCGACTCGAATGCCAGTATAGACAATTTCCACGGCCTCAAGCACACCGAGTTACCCCTGATGCATCAGAAGAATCGAAGTGAGTTCGATGAACGCGTACTACGTACAATCTTCTCGTTCTTATTCGATTCATTTTCATCTATTTTCTCTGAAAGAGCGAACATCGTAACAGACGAAGGCGAAGTAAAAATATATTCCTTGTTATTTCGATATTCTTATATTATAATGTCGTTATACGAAGTACGATAATATTGTTATTTAATATTGTTTATATCGTATTCGATGCTCTAGGGTAGCTGCATACGATAATTGAATTTGTTGCGAAACTTCGTCAAACTAATATGATTTCCACGACGTTGAAACAGTAAACGAATTTCATAACAATCTCATCAGACGCAACGTAATTTTGATAAAATGTTTCTTTAAAAATATCCATTTGGAAGAAACGCTGAGTTAGTGAACTTTTTAACAGACTCTTACGACTCGAAATTGATCAGAACTCCCGCGCTGTTCTATCTTTATGATCAGAGATATCGCAAAGGTAGTTGGGAAAATCAAAATATTCGAAACTCTTCGTTATAATAAGTTTGGTTGTTCTAAAATTAAGAATTTCTCTCTTTCATCTTTCTCGTACATCGTATACGAGCTATTGACAGACGTTTATAAGTCTACGCACGGTACAATACACGAAGAAACAGATTCGTTAAAAATCTTCGACCGATGTCAAATCTACAATTGGTCTTTTCGTTTCTAGATCATCCGATTCTACAAATTCTGGAGACGAGAGTCGGCGACAAGATGGCCCTGGATTTCGTGAAGAAGCAGAAGCAACGGTTCGCCTCGACGTAAGACGGGTTCGTAACCGGAAACGAGGTAGCACCGCGAAAAGAGGAATGTCGTGGTTGATACGCGACTATTGTTTTGAATATCAGCACTCGATGGGGAAGAAACAAGAAAAAATCAGAAAAAGTGAAAAGAAAATAAAAAATTGAAAAACGAAAAATCAAAATCCATCCCCGCGGGAAGCAAGTCGACTCTCTTCTCGAGGTTTATAGCCTTGAAATTCGTCAGATCTTTCTCAGTGTAAATCGTGTTGAATATAATCGGTGTTGGTAACTAACGAAGTTAAATAAACGAAGAGTAATATTGTTATTAAAAAAAAAAGAAGGAAACATTGAGGATTAAGAAAAAGAAATCGAAAATCGAAGAGAGACTATTGAAAAAAAGAGAACATATATATATATATAAATATATATATATTATCAGAACTATTTTTGTGTGGAGAGGAGAAGAATCGAATTGCAGGAGAAGCGTATAAAAAAGGAAGGAAAATATTTAAAAAAATAAAAACAAAAAAAATCGTTTAAATTTATCAGCCTGATGTATCTAAAGATAAATGTTAAAAACAAAAAAAAAAAGGAACAAAATGCTACCGTCGAGACCGTCGAAACTCGAAGCAATGCTAAACGGCCGTGACACATAGACGCAACGTTGAAACCGAAAACTCATTTTTCGAAACTGAAAACAGCGTCATTAAAAGAAGATAAAGTAGGGAGAATGAGGATTTATTTCGAACCTCGATACGTCCATCGATCGTAATTGAAAGAAAGTGACTCCTTTTTCCCTTGCATATAAAAATACCGATAACAGATGGAAGAATGAACGAAATAATTAAATATACAAATCTATATATATATATATACGTACACATTAAAGTATAAAGTATTAAAGTAACGTAATAATCACCGCCGATTCGCATCGCTTCGACAATTAAAGAATCAATCCCACAGAGAATCGATATACGATATTTTTCTTACTCGTCATTGGCTAAACGTATCTCTTTCTATCTTTCCACCGCCGTCGTTTCTCACTTCTCGATCCAAATATACTTGCAGCGATATTTTCTTCTGATCTCGCGTGGCGCGATCCATCGAATCCTTTCGTCGAATCTCGTGCGACGGATTTCGATCGACGTTTACAAAAGCGAAACGATATAAGCAAAATAAAATAAGAGAGAAAACAGAAAAAGCATGCGAATGAGAATGGAATTTACAAGAGGAAGACGAAAAAGGAAAAAAACGAAAAAAAAAAAAATAAAAAAAGAAAAGGAAGTAAATGAAAATTCGTAGATAAACGATGAACCTGCGCTCGTGTTGCACCGTGTTGCGTATAGCATAAGGTTGTACGCGGAAAAATATAAAAAAAAAAAACACACATACACACACGTTACACGCATGTATAATGAATTTAATCGAATAATTAAGAATACCAAGCGAAAGTGTCTAACCCCTTGCGTATCTGTGTCCCGCACACAGGGATTCAGTGTTTGATTTTGCTCGTACAATCTGAAATCTTTCTACAGCTCTTTTCCGATCTCCTCGACACGGCGCGTGTGTCGTGTTTCTAAATCGAATCGATCGATTCGACGAAATTGGACGAGTATCAGACGAAAGAACGTATAATATATGTAGTTGAACGAGTTTGAATCTCATTGGACTTTCTCGTGGATAGTTCGCGAGTTTTTACAAAATTTCGATCGCGATCGTGGTTAAGAACGTTTGGAGGAAAGAAAAGCGGAACGTTAATGACGTTAACGGAAAGGGAAAGTTTATTGAAATGGGGAAATTATAGGGGAAATTGAATGGATAATCGAAGGAAATCGGCGACCAATAACGTAGATAGAACAGTCGGAGTAGGTAATTTCGAGGGAAAAGACGAACGATTAAAAAAAAACGCACACTCGTCAATTTTTCTATTGCACGATTTATTCACGCGCGTCTCGTTTGCGTCTACATACACACGTACGTACGTACACACGCGAGAATAAAACAACTAAATAAATAAAAAAAAAAATATTAGAATAAAAAGAAAGAAAAACGAAAAAAATGAGAAACTGGAGGAGAAGATCGACAACACACCTTTGTATTTCACACACGCCTTCGAAGAGAAACTATAAGAAAGAATATGTGAAAAACGAATTTAGGGAAAATTATTTAAAAAAAGAAAATCAAGACAAAGAGAAACGGAAGAAGAAGAAACGATGATCTCTCGAAATGTCGTCTGTCCGATCCTCGGTATAATCTCGTGCATCGAATCCAATCGAACTCTATTTGCTTTTTCAACCTTTTACAATCACCAGAAACGTATGTACGATTTGTCTTGTATCGTAAGACGAATAAATTAATATAAATGTACGGAAATATTGCGGTCTTACGTTCACAGCCTCCCTGCTATTTCATTCATCATTAATTTTTCTTTTTTACACGTATAATGTCCTTCTTTTATTTTCATTTTCTAAGAAGGAAGTCTATATTTCCTTCTTTGCGTTTCTTATTACGAAGTTACGGTATTTGAAACGAATAATTCAAAGTACGTGGAAGAAGATGACACTGTAATGATTAAGTCTAAAAATGAAATTGTCTTGAAAGAATCCTGAGGTACGAGATCTTATCCAAATGAAAGAAATTAACAACGATAAATATCAGCATTAAATTTACAGAAATATCTGCTTTACATTTTTCATTACATTACATACGTGTAAAAATTCTACAAAATTTTCTTCCTCAAATCTTAAAAATAATATATATATATATATAGAAAAGATTATACAAATAAAGCGTCTTAGTAAATTATCAATCACAAACTGTAAAAAATGAAAAGGACAATCGAAAAAGATCTACAAACGTATCAGGACATCATTGTACGGTATTTTACTCGACTGATTTCTGAGTTTGCACAGGACTATCAAGCTTTTGCAACACATTCGCGCATTCTTCCGCCCGTATAATTAATTCACCGTCTAATTTTTCCAACGTTGGTAAACGTCTGGCGACTTCCAATCTCCAGTTCTCCACCTAAAAATGCATTCTGTGAAATATTATTGCGATCAATCAAATTGTTCAAACATTTCTTTACTTAAGTATTTCTTTCGTTCGGTGAATGCAACGTTTTGAGAAGTCCACAAATTATTTCATACGAAACATTTGAATATAACATTTTAAAGCGTAAATGCATGAAATTTCTACATTTATCGAAACTCAGGCTTCCAGATAAAAGACGCGTATCTCTTACTTGGTAAACATATCCCAACGTTTCGCCAACTACCTTCATCAAAATTCAAAGAACACGCTGGTGTGAAACGTCGGGAAATGTCTTTCAAGAAGACGTGTCTTACATCTGGAAGCCTGAATTTTGACAATTATGTAACGTCAGGAGCTGTCGTATCGCTTACTCGCACAAAATCGAACTAACGTTATTACTGAAATTTTAAAAGCCACGAGTTGTTTTTCGTAATAATTTATCCCGTTTGACGTAACATTTGACTCGTACAACAAATTTTGTTAATAGAACAAATGAAATTTTAGAATTAAGTTTGACAAATTACAAAGCACTCCTGTAATTGTGCTGTTTAACATAAAATTTTAAGGTTGTCGACAAAGACATCTACGATCTATAATTTATAATTTGCAAGTTCGATAGTAATAACATCGTCATTTATTAAATTATTGTTCAAAGAAGACTCTGGTTACAGAATCACGAACCACGAAAAATATCTTTTTGTCAACTGCGTTTATTTATAACATAACATTTAAAGTAACATTATTTCTCTTAATAACGTCGAATAGAAGATAACAAGATTCTGAGGTATTTTTACAAATGCAGCAAGATTAAGCTAAAGACGAAGATGACACAAATAAACCTACCTCTAAGCTCTCGTACAATGGATTTCCGACGAATACGAGATCCTGAAGATTGGTAAGTTCTTGAAGTTTGTTAAATTCGGTCCACTCCCTAACCAAATTATTCGACATGTAGACAACACGCAGATTCCTCATCGCATTGATTCCCTTCATTTTCTCGATCAGATTGTACGAAATCCAAAGTTCCTCCAGAGTGTCGCCTAATGCTTCTAAGCCAGCGAATCCTTTTATCAAGTTACGTCCTAACGAGAGGATCCTTAGGTTCTTCAGTGTTCCGATTCCTACGTCAATTCCAACAATTTCAAAACTCTTTTTCCCTCTACTTACGCGATTTATGTAATTTTGAAATCCCTGAAAATTAATCGAGGAATAATTTGCCAAAGTCGGTGCTAACGTTTTACCATGAATTATTCGAGTCTGTGATAAAAGTCGAATGTTTAATCTTTTTCTAATATTTTTCTCGCTCTGACTTAATTTTTCGTTCCTGTTCTTATCAGTATTGCGATAAAACATTCTCTGTTAAAAGATATAAATTCACTTCCACTAATATAATAATATTTTAATGCAAATATGAATTTGCACAGAGATATTTGCATCGAATTTAATTAAAACAAGAAATCTCTCATAAATTTAAAAAGGAGGTAAAAATGGATAATATCTAGAAAAAACGTGAATTCTGAGATATAGAAAAACCCAGAGAACGCGCGGCAAGAACGATGTTTTGCACAATAGTACACGTTGTCTATAATTCATTTATAATCGAGTCAGATAGAATGGCATTAAACGAGCTATAATTAAACGTCAATTAAGGAAATCCAGCAGCGACTTTATTCGTTAATCCCGCGCGTTTATCACGATGACAGATCCACGCGAATCTACCGATTCCGGATCCTCCATGATATATCATCTTAATATCACCGCCGCGTCAAGCTTCTCGAGCGATGTATTGTGATTTCAAAAAAAAAAAAAAATAAGAAAGAACAGCAGCACAAGTCGAGGGAAGAGTTTGCCATTCGCTCGAGATAAAAGTGACGACGACATAGCGTAATCGTTGAAACAGAACGTTTACGTGTAATTAAATGCGACGATTAATTGATTAGAAATGAAATATTAGTAGAAAATTTGTTGACCGAAGAGTATCGTAGATAACAAAATATCGATGTTTTGAAATTTTTATGCTTCGTATTGCAAACGAATAACATAAAATATAACATGGTAAATTTGATAACATTCTTTCACCGTGTTCCCTGAATTTATAGATACCGACATCAGAATTGTATTTGTTATAAATAAACGAATAATTGAAGAAATAATAATATCGAATGAATAGATAGTGATATTATTATAGGTAACGCATAATCATTAGAAGACTGCAAATATTTACGTAAATTCATATTTTTATAAAAGTAAATGGAAAAGATAGTACCTAAGCAGAAATATGTTTTATCTGCTAAACGTTTTAACAGGTGTTAAACTTTGCATATTTCATATACACTTGTATATTAAACACATTCTGCGATTTTTTTCTTCTTTTTTTTTTTGAACTACTCTCATAGGAAGAAGGCTAAAAAGAAAACACTCCACTGGTCTCGCTAAAGAAATAAAATAGTCCAACTCGAAGATGGCATCCCGTTGAGAGTATTCCACGTGTTATTTAACAATTAAACTAGAAAAATTTACCGAATGTCCAGCTGGACAAATCGTAAAGTACAAATTTAATAATAAAAAAAGAAATTTTTTTTTGAACTTCTCGTAAATTCATGGAAGTCACGATGCGATAATTAGTAACAGGAGAGAATAAAATAGTTAATAATTAAATTTGTCGTATACATAATATTAAACATATCGTATAAAGTAACCATCAAAAATTATATCTACCCGCAATCTTCTCGATCATGTTCGTCGAGAGCGAGAGCTTCTCGCAATTGATCAAAACCGCTAAAGCGTTGTCCATTTTTTCTATAGGAGGCCATTGGAAGCTCAGAATTACTTCCTTCGCGGTGGAAGCTTCCTGCTTGTTCTCTTCCTCCCAAAGTCGAATAGCTTCTTTGCAGGTGGTTGGTTTTATGGTAGTCATACTTTCCTTCGTTCATCGGCGAGTTTGATCAAATTTTCGCAAAAGCCGTTAGTTTCTGCCTTAAAGAAAACTCTGTTGAAATAAACGAGCACGAATCGAACAAGGCTGTTTCAGCAAATATCACGTGAGTAAATGAAAGCGAGAAATACACGTATACGCAAGGTGAACCATGTTCAACGGAACGAGCTTTTTGTTCAATTAAAAGACAAAGGGAAACAATGGCGGAAATGGCTTAAAAATACTTCTTTTAGCTGTTTTATTTAATTTTTTAATTAACTTCGACCATTCGGTACGATATTTTTAATCTTTCCCTTTTCTCGTTAACGTTACCAATTGTGCTCGTTTTATCCGTTTCTTTTCCTGCGCAATCTTCTTCTTAATTGAATCAACCTGTTTATTTCTACGAAGGTGAACGCTTTTAAGAATATTTTGTGAGAAAATATTCAGGTGAGTTATCTCGCGAACGAATACCACGCGAGATACTAAAAATTCTTTAATAAGTCGCGTGCCTCGATCCTGTGTTTAAGATGTCTCGGCTGGTCACCAAGGTATCATAAGCGTTTCATAAAACGCCTCCTGCGTTTCCTCAATGAAATTTCAAGTGTCGCCACGCATATTACGATCTTCTATTAGTAGCCTCTCGTACATCTTCTTTTTTAATAAATGTAAAATACACGTACTTTATACTTTCTTTAAATAATCCTACTACATAAGAGGATCTTCTTGAAACTCATACTCAAACTTTTATTAAAAATTGTAAAACGTTTCAAGAAATTTGTTAGTCTTGCGCTTAAAATATAAAATATGAGAAAGGCGACAAAACAGTTTGCTCGAGAATAACACAGAGTATCGTTTGAAAAAAGAAGATACCAATTGGGTAAGTAGCCGCTGTAATTGATGCTGAAATAGGCGAGTAAACGATGAAAAAGCTATTACGATATCATTTTTCGAAATTCTTTTAAAAATCAAATATCAAAGCTACGCTAAAGAACAAAGGGGTAGCAGTGCTCTTTCGTTTTATTTTCTTTCCATCGGTTATTTTGTACACCTATCCGCTATTTATAATTTAGCTGACAATAAAAACTTTCGACGATACCATTAATTTTCCACCGGAATATCTCCCGTAGCCAACCAATCGGTGCACTTTTCCATTAAAAGGTTCCACGTATTACCAGATAAATTTTCAAACGACTCTGTTCACGCATGTCGATGGTGGGCAAAAATTCCAATTCGAATCTTCTGTCCACGGTAAACGTAAAATCTTTCCTCGATCGCGTTCGACGTTATCACTTGGTCACGTTTCGCCGTGCAATTTCGAAGGATGCGCGAAACATTTTTCTTCCAAATTTGACGGAATATCGTTTGTTATCGTTTATCCGAGCTTTCGAGGTTACAAGAATTCGACATTCGTTTTGACTCGTGGCAAACTGCCACGACTGGAGCCTGGTAATATCTGGCACCAATCAAAATAATCGATGCTCATGGACGCATGCGTCTGGCTGCCGTTATTTATCAACCAAGCGTCCCAATAAGATTTACGACGATATTAACGTGGAAAAAGTGCAGGTCTCGGGATCCGACTGGGACCGTGTGCGTTCGTTAGCTGAAAAGTTCAGGGCTCTCGTTAAAATCGATCTCGAGATCGCATCGATTCCAGGAGATAATAACGAGTTTAGAACTCGTAGACCTTCGACAAATATGTTGAAAGTTTCGAATGAATTTCCAGCGTACAGGGATATAGACAGATGTAGAATTTCTACGAAAAAACTGTGAAATTGATTTTTTGGTAAATTAAAAATAGCTAAAGGAATATCGAATAAAGAAGGATACGTAATCGTCAGAATTTATTTCTTTTAAGATTTTAGACTTAAAACGTATTATACCTTACCGTGGTACATATTTGAACCGTGTCGTTCAAATCCATTTAAAAACTATGAAAATCTAAATATATGAAAGCTATTGTTATAAACTATGGATAGTTTATAACCGAAAAATTGTTACTTCTAGGATTATCGGGACACGACCTTCTTCTCGTTTATGGAGATGCATAATTTGTAACCCTTTATCCGGTGATGAGGTATCCCGTTTGCGACCTAAAAACAAATTTACGGACCTGGATACCTCTTTGTTTCCGTGCCTATAAAATATCCAGTAGAAACCACGAACTTGGTACTTCTTGATACTAAAAGATGCAAGGGAATAACAAGGAACAAGAAGAGAAAAGACAAATTGCACGAACAATTCTGGATATTGTATGTTTGTTATCGTCGAGGTAGAACGATAGATACGACGATCGAAGGAAAAGTTTTGAGGAGAAGAAATTTTAAATAGCGGGAAACGCGAATGAGAGGAGACGCGGAGGATTCCGCTGCTCCATCGTCATCGAAGTAAAATAAAAGATCGGACGATAGAAAGCGCAACGGAAAGGAGCAACGAATACGAGGAAAAATTTGTTGGGAGGTTGGGAAAAATCGGGAAGTTCGAAGGAAGAGACACGTGTGAAACTTTTGCACATCGCTTCTTTATTGCCATCGAAACAGAATAAAAGGTTACTGACACTAAAGAATACAACGAAAACGACAACGACGGAGATGACTATATTAAAAATACGAAAAAGATATGAATGAAAAGACACATGGAGGATTTGAAGTGTCGCTTCTTTATTATCACCGAAGTACAATAATCCCTCGGGATTAGAGCCATTCGTTTCCATCTGGATGACAGGTAGTCTTACATTAAAATATAGCGCAGAAAAGACGCGTGGCCGAGTCCAAGAATTCGCCTGGTTTCTCATCTCCGTTGCCTTTCCTCGAAAAGCGTCGCGACGACCTAATCGTATCCCTATCAGCCGAAGAGAGATGGCAGTATTGTCACGTCACGCACCACTCATACAACGAACAGACAACGACGATAACGTTTTTCATTGTTCGCTTACTCGAAGTAACATCGATAAATTCATCTTGGCAACAGCTAATCGGTAGACATCGAGCGGGTGTATCGTCGAAAACCGGAAGTCGATATCTTCGAAACGATTATGCACCTTTAGGTTCGAAATTATTTCCCCTTTCGACGACAAACTATCGTGCTTTTGGCTTTTCGGGATCAGTCGTGTTACGCGCTACGCTTCTGCGCGAACATTTCGCGGACATTGCGGAAACCGGCATCCGAAGGCACAACGCGATTAATGCCGAAAAACCAGAAGGATAACGTCCATCAACCATCGTGAAAGCTTAAAATCTAAAGAAAATGTTATTTTTCTCGTCTTATTTCGTCTTTCCCCTTATTTAATTATTGTTTCGCTACTTTCTTTCATTATCGTTCTCACTCTTCGAGATGTTGTTACAAGGTCCTTAGGAGATTTAGAAATACGAGCTTCGTTACGTCTTCTCTCGACTTCGGTTAGAACGTCGAAGAGCAGAAGGAGAAACAAAAAAGGAAAGAAACCACGATATAACGTTAATTTGAAGAAAAGGAACGGTGAAAAGAACGTGGAAGAATAAATAGAAAAATTGGTAACGTTTATAAGCACGACAAGTTACAACGAATTATCGAAAACTAATAAGAGCATGCGCTTGCAGAATCGATATACATTTGATGGTTACACTGTTGTATTTCTGGATTAAAGACTTACATCGAGTTTAGCTTAAATTACAAAAATACACAAAGGCACTTGATAAGAATCCCCTTTCTTTTTTTAACCTCTCTCGCTCTTTTATTTCGCGAAGGTTCTTGTTCAAGTCACGATTCCATAGAACTCCGTCTTTCTGGTTTATCTTCTCTTGTTTCAATTAATTCAACAACAGCAGCAACGACGACGCAAACCGATGGCAAACGATAATGTATATCTTGACTGGTTTCGCAATTGATAAATCGAATGGTCGATGACGACGTGTCGTTAACTCGCCATCTTCGTTTGAGCGAACAAAGGAACGATTCTTACTTAAAGTTACAAGATGTTCGTTTCTTTTGAATCTTACGTCCTGTTACTTTTATATTCTTTCACTCTTCTGGCTTTTGGTTCGATTTTAACAGTGCTGTAAGAAGATAGTCTTGCGATCTGTGAGTCGAAAAACGTATCTCTACGAAAGAATTTTTTAACAAAGAAATTACTTCGACTCCCCTATTAAATCACAATTTTTGTTCATTTTAACATCCCTCTTATCGTAATTATATTTAACAGTTCGTTTCACGTTATACGTAGTTGCATATTATTCGTATTTGATTTATCTTTCATATTGTTTTGATTCAACGAGCCGCAAAAATTTGCATCCTATTGCTACCTATTTTGCGATAGAATTCACAATTTAATATTGTCCTCGATTTTCAGTAGTTCCAGCCATTGTAGTAAAATAATTTTATTTTGATCGCACAATTCGAATTGTTTTAAATTGGCCAGAAATTTGTCAGAGCGATCTTGCATTTAATTCGCAATTATTAAATCACTATTAGAATTTATTTTCCATTTTTGATCATTCAGCTTTGATAACGGAGTTTCTCTACTTCCTCTACTAAAATCGAAATTTATTCATCCGTTTTAAATTTAATTATGTATCATGCTCCCCAAACCGTTTCCCTTCTTTCGTTGGCTTAACGGCCGATCTTCCATAAACTTGGTAACGCTTTCTGCTTTAAGTCTGAACCAAAATCTTATCGTCTTATCGAACTACTTCGAAACGCTAATTCTTCTGACATATAATCTCTATGCACACTTCATAATACCAAAACTTGCAACAAGATTCTTTTTCAATTCGATATCCCATTTGCAAACGCCGTTTAACAGCACTTTGGAAAATATAATACCGTTCTCTATGATTTTTATCCTCCTTTCGATTTTATACGTTTTCGTGCGCTTTTCTTTCGAATGGATGCCTTTAGTTCAGCTAGCGTAAGCTATTAATCGTAATGGTTCTTATTCCTTTTTTTTTTTCTTTTTTTCTTTGCTTCTTTATCCTACAGTCCAGTAACTTGGCCCCTGAGACGGATATACCGCGCGAACTATACTTGTTACAACACTGCTTCGTTTTAAATATATGCACAGGATACTTCGGGAAAACGGTTCAAGAATATACAAATTTACAGTTTATAAAGAATTCTACGAACAAGAATTCTGATAACAGTTAACATAGCTGATGAATCCAACGTAGAGGCAAAGCTAATAGATCGCAATATCAAATTGAAATGACTTTTTTGTCCGAAGAACGTCAGAATGAAGGATGAAAGAATGAAGAGTTATAGAGAAGTAAATAAAAATATTTCGTCACTTTATTACAACCGGCGTTTTGTAAAAAAATATCGTACATGAAATAAAAGATAATAATAAGTAATCGTACATAAATAGAAGTGACATATATCAAAGACGAACAACAGTTTGTTATTACAACTCTGAAACACTTTGTTTAGAAAATGACACATACGATCAATTGAATATTCTTGAACCATCTTTCCCCAACACCCTGTATATACATATACACGAGTATATATATATATATATATATTTATATATAATTCGGTTATACATAGGCATAGAGATCGCAGAAAATAGACAGTGGGCCGTGTAGACGTGTAAATACGTATGTGTGCGTGTATGTGTGTATGTATACGTGTACCTACGTACGGTCTTCTTTATTTTTCGTATTTGCTTTCAAAATGTCCCAAAAATGAATATTCTCCATGGTACCCGTCCTTTTAAGGAAAACACGCAATACAGCAACACGTCGATCATTTAACGATACATCTACATAAAACTAACGTGGACTTATATTCATCGTACATTAGGAATTTATAAATATATACATATATATTTATATATGCATATAAGTATGTATGTATGTATATTTATAATAATATAACACACGTATCTCGCTGCTGTTCGTCATT